TGATGTGGACAGACTGGCCACTTCCTCACATAAAGCTGACTTTCGTGCTTCTTATTTTGGCTTGCTCTTGAATACATTTAATTGAAGTCCAGTCAAAACAGCAGCCCTAATTTAATATAATCTCATCCTTGCTTTGTAAATTTTAACAAGTCACAGTAACAATTTAGTTATCTGACATAAATAATTCCCCCATTAGCATTTTGAATGGAGATTCTTCGATATGTAAGGAGACTCATCTTTTATTATTCAGACCAAATTTGAGGTATTCCTGCTAAGATGAAGTGTAACAGCTGAGCACAGTTGGTGTGGCATAGCAGGAAGAATCTGGGACTGGGAACCAAGGACTGGCTTTCTAGGACAAATTCTGGGTCCAGCCACTTGAGTTGTGTGACATTGGACATGTTGCTTGACTTTGAGACTCTGCCCTTTTCTGTAAATTGGGGACAGTTTACCCACCTTGCTTTAACACATAGACTTTTAACATAAAACAACAGAAAGTCCTTTTTTAAAAGTAAAGGCTTAAAAGACAAAATATATTGTTTTGAAATTCACCAATAATTAGCCTTGGGGCAAAACGATTTAGAGGATGAGCAGAATTTGTCACTTAGAGTTTTAGATGGTCAGCCAACATCAGTTCAGCTTTCAGCCTCACAGGTTTAATCTGCTAATTTACAGTGTTGATGGACACTTTCTGTCAATCAAGTCACTCTAAATTTAAAATGATAAACTGAAGAACATCTCCAAATACTTTATAAAGATGATTGTTTTAAAATGAAGATACATATAAAAACACAGAAGCATTATTTTGTATTGTTAGTGGGTGTCTTTTTTAAACCTAGTTGAAAAAAAGTTTTTTGATTATCTAACGGGTTTATCATACTATGTAATGCATTACATGAAGTTGATCAAAATAAAAAGAAAGAAAGAAAGAAAGAAAGGCAGACATTACTCTAGCCTTTATAGTTTGGAAAAGTTAAATAGTATGAAACATTATTTAACAAAATTAAGACAGTATAGTTGGTTTCTTTTTTTTTTTTTTTAATGAAGGTACTGGGGAATGAACCCAGGACCTCATGCATACTAGGCATGCCCTCTACCTCTTAGCTATTACTCTCTCTCCTCAGTTTTCTTTCCTCCTCTCATTTTGCAGTTCTTAATACTTTTCATTTTCTTCTTTTCGTTTTGTGGAGTTTTTTTTTTTTTACTTAGAAAATTTTAATAGAATAGATAGTACAAAGTCAAATTATATTCAATTCAAACTTGGTATTGGGAAACTGTTTGATTAATAGAATAAACAAATGCAGCGCATCTTTTCATGTTTGCAGAATTTAAATTCCATATGTAAGTTTTTTGGCAGTCTCCTTATTTATTAGTTGATTTATATAGATCACTCTCAACCCTGAAGATTAGGCATTTTAACAGCTAATGGGTAGAAACTGGCACCTTAATTCACATATCCTGTGCTTTAACTGTTTGCTGTTCTTTGTAAATACCCAGTGAATGTTTACCCTCATTGCTGTTGTCCTATTTCTTTTGCCAGAAATCCTCTTCTGTTGCCATGTTTGCAGCTCCTACCCATCTTTCAAGTCTCACTCAAATTCCACCTCTTCTAAAAAAGCTTTACCTTATTATAATGTCCACAATGAAGTAAATTTCCAGTGACTGGATCCCATTGTTTCTTTCTTGTAATTTCTCATTTTGTGTCTTTTATTTCCCTTTTAGACTGTAAGCAATGGCTACTATAATGCTGTACCTATTGTAGATGACAGTTAAATAAGTGGTATTTTTCTTTTTCAGTTTTTAAAAGAAATCATTTCTATTTTTTAAGCAGGTATTTTGTGAGGGTAAAGTAGGAGAAAGAATGGGTAAAAAAGGAACAAAATGATGGTGAAAAGACCTTAAAGGCAGAAATTAGAAAGGAGATGAGAGGATAAAAGGAAAGGAAATGAGGGAGAATAAAAGGGAAGGAATAAAAAGATATGAAACAAGGATTTTTCTTTGAGTTTACTAATCTTCTATGTATATCCTATCTCAGTTGCTTAGTGTCATAACTATTTTATGTTTTTCCTGAGGAATCTAAGGAGTTATCAGCAATTGTTGGTATTACAATTTGAAGCCTGTTATAGTCTATTTTTTGTCATTAAATCTTGAATACTTCTCAAGGACTTCCTAGTTACTATATACTCTGAAAACTGTAATTTTTAACTTTTGAGTTTTGATAGCAAAAACATCATGAAACGTTGCCACAAAGCCATATTAAATTTGGGGAAAGAAAAGAGGGTATTATCAAGAAAGGTCTTTGGAGTAATTTCTACTTGTTTGAAAGTTTGGGAAGAATCTTTGTATTTATTCACCAGACTGTTGAAGTGAACCGTTCTCAGATCAGAGCCTGAGCTTTTAACAGCTGAGATAGGTAGTATTTTTTTTTAATCAATTTTTACCATTTATTTTGTGACCATATTTTTTAGGGATGACTTAAATCTTTCTTCTGTGGATAAAAATTAGTCTCTGTTCCAAAAGCAAGTAAATATTTACCTTTTTTGTTAGCTATGGCAATAGAACAGCCTTTTTTTTTTTCTTTCTTTTTGCACTATGTACCGTAAGCTAAAGAAGTGTATATTTTATGTTACTTACATAGCTTTTAGGCAAAGCAAATACCATTTACTGATGTGATAAATACATAGAAAGCTTATTCTGCAGTTTTTTTAAAGTGAAAAACTACCATTATCTGAAGTTTATTTGGCAAACCATTTTCTGTAAATAATTGGTATGTTATTTTCCACTGATTTTTTTCTTTTGACAGCTGGGTCAATTTTTCTTTAAATATTAAGTCATCAGTATTACTGAATGCTATTTAATGGTTTTAGATCAGGGTAAGATCTAGAAAAATTGTGCCTAATAGAGGTAATAACTAGCTGGTAGGCTTGAGAGCCAGTAAAACTAGTGATAAATAGTTTGGGCTCTGGATTCTGAGAAATGGGGGTTCTAAATACATCTTTACCACTGTGTAGTCTTGGAAAGTTTGTTGACCTGTCTGAGCCTCTGTGGAATGGGGATAGATTTTTATCAACAAATAATAAATATACTAAGCCTTTACTATGTACTGGGAACTATACTATGTTTTGGACAATAATAGTACCTTCTGTCATAAGATCATTGGAGAATTTAATTAGAATGCATGTAAAACACTTAGCAGAGTACTTAGAACAAAAGTGATCAATAAATTTTAGCTCTTATTATTAAAATATTTCAAATACATTTTAAAAAGTCCTCTAAGAGTTAAAATTGTTTCAGGGAGTAATTATATATCTGGGATATGTCATTAAATTACATTAATCCTATGTGTTTGTTTGTTTGTTTTTAATTGGCATGAAATTCTTATATTTTAAGGCTGATTTTAAAAACTAGTAGTTGGTTTAACAGCTTTGAAAACAAGTATAAATGATATTAATGCCAACATTAATGTTTGCTTTAGGAGAAGTTTTAATGTGCATGTGTAAGTGAACCAACACTATATTCTGTTATCTTTCAAGTAATATATGGACCACTGATAATAGTTAGGGAAGCAGTTATATTAGGAAATAAATAAATGTGGTTTATTAAAGTACAGAACTATTATATAATGTTCAGGTAATCCAGGAAATATTTAGACCTACAAAATACCTAGAAAAGCTCTTTTTAATAGTATAAAAATACAGTAGACTTACCCTCTGTGACAGTTAATTTTACAAAATTAATGTATTCAATTTTCCTGTTAAATTACCATTATACCTATGGCTAGTTAAGAATTGATAATACTAAGTTCTGAATTTAATTAAAAAAATATTTCCTCCTTTCTTTCTAATTTTCCATCTTTCTTGAAATACAGGTGAAGTTCTTTCCAGACACTTTATACATATACACATATATACATATACACACATGTATTTATTTCTTCCTTTGATTTTAATAAGTGATAGATGGGGAGGGGAATTGGTCTGCCTTAGATCTATAATTCTTATAGTATCATTATAAATCTTACAACATCACTTATGACAGTCATAAACATTCAGAATATTGAAATGTGTTCATTTCCCTTCCAGAGCCAAAAAAAAAAAAAAGACATTTAATGCATTCATTATAGTTTATCTGAAAGCTTTTCAGCGAAGAGGAAAAAATTTTTGTTGTTTAAAAGTTTGGTTAATTATAGCATCTTATAATAGCTTATTAGTTAATTAAGATTTTAATGTGTTTTTGTGGTAAAATTTTTATTCTAACAGTCTTTGTGACTTGTGGCATTTGATCTGTGTATGTAAGCATAGATTACTTTAAAAATATTAACTACAACTGCCAACAATTGAGTACTTACTCTCTACCAGGGAGTTTTCCAAAGGTATCAAAAGTATCAAGTCAGCTAATCTTCACAACAGCCCTCTGAGGTGGGTGCTATTACGTCCCTTTCTCAGATGAGGAAACTGAATCACCAGAAGGTTAATTTACCCAGAATTACTCAGATAGTATTACAGCCAGGATTCAAGAATTTGTGCACTAATCTTTACTTAATTGCCCTCTCCCCAAGATTTTACAGTCAGGTTAACTATTTGAACAATATACATGTATAGTCATCATATTAAAAAACAACAACAACGGAACAAAGTATTGAACATTTGCTAGGCTCTATAATTAGTATTAGGTGATTGTATTAGGCTGTACAGGAAGGGTGTCATCATTAACAGATGGCTAGGCATTAGCACTACTAGAAATGGTAGTCAAGATTTTGAAACCTGAGATTAAAAAATATCTGAGTTAATTAATCTTGTTTTTGCTTGTTTTTCAGTAGACTTTCAATAATACTGGTTTGATTTTGATAAATCAGCATTTATTATGACAGTAGATCTTGATGAGCAGTACGGTAGTCTCAACTGTAGTCTGATTCGGTGATTATTTTTAAAATACATGTAGCTAAAATCTGCTAGAATGTTCATGTAAGATTAATTTTATCTTCTTTTTTTTCCCTTTAGTAAAATAAAACAGGGTCTGTTACCTAGCTTGGAAGATTTGCTCTTCTATACAATTGCAGAAGGACAAGAGAAAATACCTGTTCATAAATTCATTACAGTAAGTTTTTATATTTTTCTGTCTTAATTTTTTTAAAGTCAGTAATACTGAATCAATAATATGGTAATATTGAAATGTAGTCTTAAAGGTCATCTGAAATGTAGATTCTGACTGACACTATTTCTCTTATTTTCAAATTTTCATCGTGTTCATTTCAAGGTAATCAGTGAAAGAAAATGAAAGAAACAATGAGAATGTCCAGAAAGTGGGTAATAGTGACACTAAAATGCCATATACATATTCAGGTCTTGGGTAGAAGTTTTTATATACAGGAATTAAAAACTTGTATTTGGAATAAGCATATACATTATTTGCACTTTATATTTACAAACTCTTATTTTTTTAAAAACAGGCACTCAAATCTACAGGATTGCGAACGTCTGATCCCAGGTTGAAAGAGTGTATGGATATGTTAAGATTAACTCTTCAAACAACATCAGATGGTGTCATGCTAGACAAAGATCTTTTTAAAAAGTAAAAAAAATTTCTGCCAAACCTTTAATGGTGATTTGCTATGCTATATGGTGTTTTTTCTTTTAAAAGAAAATTGCATCTTTGAAGGCCAGCGCTTCCTGTGTAACTGAAAAAAAAAGGGGAAGGGTGTTTATAAACATCAATTGTTTGGAACAACCTGGTGTACATTAAGGTTCTATAATACACTGAGGCTAAGACTATACTTTGAAACTGTTCTGAGGAAATGTAGCCACAGATCTTTATTGCATTCAGTTTGAATAGAGCACACTGTTTGTCCTATCATGGCTTAAATTAATCTTTAATTCATCTGCATATCTTGCAGGCTTTCTCAGTATGTTCTGTTTCTTGCCTACAAGGTGACTTAGATGACATCATAAAATGAGAAGGCTTCTTTCAGGCAGTGTATATTCCTCAGATTTACATATCTCATTTGTCTGCTTCTTTCCTCTCTTCAGACATATTACTACATAGGCTTTTGGCTATTTGGGATTTTTTTCCAGATTATTTAAAAACTTAATGCAGACTTTGGATATTAATGCCTTGATTTGGTTGTTGAGAATATTAATTTTGACCTTCTTATATTTGGCTATCTTTATTATTTCTCTTCATTAATGTGCTTCTACTTGTCTGATTGCTTAATGATTTAATAGATAGCATGTTTGTCATCGATCCCAAAGAGATGAACTATTAAACTACTAAACTTAGGTAAAAACTAGTATAAAACTGTAAACACTACTGTAAGACATTGGCTTTTTCTAGACCATAGGCTTAGGTTGGGATAGATCCAAAAAGTTCCAGCATCTGCCTTGAAAGTTTATTTGGATGTATGTATTTTTATTAACTTTTTCTTTTATTGTCTTTTGGGGGCTAGATGATTTGTTCTTAGATATCTCCTGGGAATGTCCTAGAGTAATAAGTCATCTGAAGATAAAAGTATTTAGCTGAGACCCTCCCAGGTATCTTGGCATACTGTGAAGCACTGCTGACAGTTTGGCTTTTTATCTTTTCACCACAAGGTTCTTGATTCTGTTAATTCAGCTGACCTTATGAAGTATAGATTTAGGTCCACGTTGGAATTGGTGTTAGGAATTGTGACTCTTCAGAACCTGTTTCTTTGTGAAGAGAAGGAAATTTCTAGTTAACTGTGCTTTTGCAGTAAAGATTATTTTACTTTTAGTGTTCATGAACTGTGCAAAGTATCTTGATTATGGTGCTTTTTAGGGAGTTATTTTAGTGTATCTGAAAGTGAAGTTGTCAAAGAGATGGTAGGTAGATTTGTTGATAATGGGTATGAGGAATTGCTTTGGAATTCCTAAGTGAAAACAGTATTTTATACCTTTGTAATACTGGTTAAATTTTTTTTGTGCTTCATAAACATATTGCTGTGTTTAAATATGAAATTAAAAGTGACTTAAATATACTGATTATGAAGTCAAAAAACAGAATCATAAAATTTCTACCCGTAAGTATATTTTAAAAATAATAATTAGCATTATTTAAACACTGATCCTTTTTTTTTTTTAATTGATGATTGTAATATAGGCAGTTCCCAACATGACAAAGCTTAGTGGTACATGTGAGGAGGCAGTGGAAAAGTTTATATTTATAGGTATATGATTTCTCTTCCTCCCTGGAATGAGGTGATTCAAAACCTCTGACTATTAACCTTTTCAGGTCACCTGGAAAGGTGATTGCTCCAGAGAAGTTTTTTTCTCTGTTTTCAAAATAAGTTTTCTAGTTAGTGTTGCCAGAAATAAATTTATCTCAGCTCCGTGTAGGTGGGAAGAAGGTGTTACAGTGGAATCTTTTTTCCCAGAGAAGTGATTCATAAAGGTGGAAAGATTTGGTTGAAGTCAATATGTTGATATTTTACCTAAAATACATTGTTGGTTAATATATTTAGCCTTTGATGGTAATCTGAGAAACAACTTTTATGTAGAACATTTTTTTAAATGGGAAAATGAATTCTAAGCATACCTTTTGGAGCATAATCTGTTTGAAAGTTGGAGACTGCCTGTACCCATCTAGATAGTGAATTGTTTTTAATGATAATATCTTTAATAGAAGTAGAAATTTGTGTTGAAAAGGAATGCCTTAAAAAAAAAAAGAAAAGAAAAGGAATGCCTTACTTATTCTTGCATTTTTAGCCATATAAACAGTAGAACTATTTTTATGTGTGATCATAATTTTTTCATCTTATATGTTTTGGAGGAAAGTGAATGGTAGTTTTTGAATTTGTTTATTGTTTTATTTTTCTTAAAAAATTCATATCCACTATGTTATTCTACTAATGAAAAATTATATGTGAGATATTTATAAAACCGTTATGTGCATTACAGTTGTTAATCACAAACATTTAAGTAAAGAAGGAAGGAAAAATTATTATTACGAGTTTACAGTTAAGAAAACTGAACAAAGCATGAGAAAGATGTGACTTGCTGAAAAGCATAAGCAGTTCCTCATCAGCTCATTTTATGTGACTTCTGATTTTCTAATTAGGTTCATAAAATCTATGTTAAAGTAACTTCCAAGAAAAACATTACTATTTGGAATGTTCATCAGTGTGGCACTAGGCACTCTTCTGAGTGGTAAGATTTCCTTGGTTGGGCACAGTAATTCACCAGGGAGGACTGTTAGCATAGCTTTACCAGCACCTTCTGATAGAGCAGAAACATCCCAGTTTCACTGACTGTACAGTTTTGTTAATGATAAAGCCTCCTTTTAAAAGTGCTGATTAATTTTGAATAGTTAAATAGTGGGTTAGTGGTAGGCTAATAATTTCTGCTTGTTTGGCAGTCCTCATATTTTCTCATGTAATACTTCTTGAAAAAAGGGGGGTGTAGATTTGATTTGATATAGATATAGTGATATAAGATCAGGAATTGTCTTTTCGGCTGAGAATACGACTTACAGCTCTCATGTGCAAGTTGAATTGCTATTTGACGCATATTATAAATATTAAGTCAGTGGCAAAACTTAATACTTTTAGGTTAACATTGAAATTATCAGAAAACATATCAAAGTGTATTGAAGTAAATATTTATCTTTTGAATGTCAATTATTTTTATGTCTGAAGGTTAATAGAAATTAGGACTATTAACTTTTACATGTTGTAATTGGGACACGTCTTTATCACTGAAAATAATCTATTTTACTTTAAATCAGTGTTTAATTTTATGTTGACTGAGTATATGTTCTGGATTTTTATTAATAGTTAAAATATGATATTTGGCTTTTTAATTTTGATTTGATGTTTCATTTAGAACAACTGGAATTAAAATACTGAGAGAACAATTTAAAATACTGAGATACAGAAATTTATCATTTACCTATGGACTGAAAAAGAAATACTGAGAGTGCTTGCTCCTCCATCTCTCCTTTAATAATTGGTGCACATTAGTTACTTGCAAGTTACATACAGAGTTTTCTTATCTGTAAAGTGGGAAATCATCTCAAAGTATTCATGTTTTAAGGGTTAAGCAGGATAAGTAGTACTTGAAACAGTACTTTTTAGTCTGTCTGGGCTTAGTCTTAAGTTGGTGTTATGGCTTGATGCTCACATCTGGAAAGTCTTACTTTATCAAGTAAGTATTCTATTACGAAATTTCTGAGACTCTCTTAAGAAGATGGACTTAGAGTATATGGTTGACTGCTATCTATTTACAAAACTCTTCTTTAAGGTTGTATTGATGAATTGATTTTCTGGCTTATATCTTTTTTAAAACAAAGCAGACCATTGGTTCACATCATTAGATTTCATGCTCTCCCATCCACATGATTTATCATACCTTTTAAATGGTTTATAACAATGAAACATTTTAATTCTTAATGTATTACGTATCTTACAGGGAATAGAATAATGTAGTTTAACATTTTTGGTGATTCAGATAATATAAAATTACTGTACTTCTATACATAATTTTTAAAAATTATACATTATTTTTATAAGCATTTTAATAAGTATTTCTTTAAGAGACAGTCTGACTAAACAAAGTTGATATTTCCATTTTTTTAGCTTAGAAATGCAAATTTTTCAAAATGTAATTCAGGAAAAATATGTTAAAATACAAAATGTTTAGTTTTTTGTCAAATACTAGTAATAGTCATATAGAAACTAAGGGATATATATTATTGAAGTCTGGTTTTTGTTAACCAAATGTCATGCTGAATGCTTATCAACTCTGGTAGGGTAAAAATCTTGTTTTTAGATGGTCTTGATACTTTACCTGGTGGAATACTCTGCTGTTTTAAACTTTGGCATAATTTTTAGGCTATCTAATTTGTTTCTTTAACTTGTTCAACAGCTTACAAGCAATTACATGAAAGGCTACTTGAAGGAAAGAGAATAATGTAGAAGGAGTATAATTTATAGAATTTAGTTTGTTATGTAAAATGATGAGTTTCTCTATTGTTTGAACATTCTCCTAATTAATATTGTTACTAGCAAGTACTAATATTTAAAAAGTACTAGTCTGTTAATTTTTTTCTCATATTCCACAGATGTGTTCAAAGCAACATTGTTTTGTTGACACAAGCCTTTAGAAGAAAGTTTGTCATTCCTGACTTTATGTCTTTTACTTCACACATTGATGAGTTATATGAGAGTGCTAAAAAGCAGTCTGGAGGAAAGGTAACATTTTTGATGTGACTATTTTCCTAAACCAGTTAATTAAATTCAGCTCAACTTGAGGTATAGAGAGTAAAATTGTGTAGTTTTGTGTTTTGCTAATTAAGAAATTTAAGTTAAGTGAAGCCACTGGATTAAGTGCTTTTAAAATATTTAATTTAATTGTTATTTTAGCTAAAAAGAAATCTAAATTTAAGAATTCTTTGTGATTTTTGAAATGATTAGCATGGCTTTTAAATTTTTAATTAATAAGTAACTTATTGGAAATTTCTGCAGATATAATACCTTTGAATATTAAATAAAGTGTTTCTAGTTTTTAAATTCTCCACATAAGGGCTACTTTATTTATTCTTCGTATTGAAAGTTTTTAGATAATGAAACACTGTCAGCATGACCCTGATTAAAAAAATTCTCTATTCCTTTCCCTTAAAAAAAAAAAGTCAGGTCCTAGCTCCTATTTCAGACTGCTTTATTAGGAAGAGAGGCACTGAAAAATGGAATGATGGAGATTGAGAGAAGTCATTTAGATCTCACTTACAATCCTCAGAAGTCTGTTGTGCCCTTAGTTTTTATGAATATTGTTATAAGAGATAGACTACAAAGCCACCGAGTGCTATAAAATAACTATTCATTGGTGGAAGCTAAATTGAGATAATTTTTTTGGTAGAAGAAAATACTATTTGCCTAGATTATATCTATTAATTTCTTTCCAATGTTTTGGATAGGTTGCGGATTATATTCCTCAGCTAGCCAAGTTCAGTCCTGATTTGTGGGGTGTGTCTGTTTGTACAGTAGATGGACAGAGGTAAGTTTATTTCAGACTAATCAAAACCAACTCTAAATCTTAAATTTTGCGTAACTGTGAACATGAGATAGAGGGGAACAACTTCTGTAATGGAAATTAGCCCCATAACATGACATAAATTCAAAAAGGTAAAGAAGTTTAGATTTTAGTTTAATTTAAGAAGCTCAACTGAAACAATAACCATACACTAAATTTTATGAGGCATTTCATCTCTCTTATTCACAGTTGTAGTCTTGTTATTTGAATGTTTTTTGTACAAGGACCTGCAATCATGAATTTGTTTAGGAAGAGTAGACTTGGCAAAATAGGACATTATTTACTAGTGAATTGACCACCAATAAAATTAGTTCCCCTTTCTTGGCTTACCATTGGTTACCCATCCTGTCATTATCTTTGTTCCTCTTGCTGCTGATATGATTAGAATCATAGTTAACACAATATAACATAATATAGTCTATTGCTCATCAGTCATTTGCAAAGTGAAAAGTCAGTTGCAAAACATTCAGGACTTCATGAAGTCCATGAAAGCAATCTTTGGGATGTGCTCACGCTGCAGGCATAACCACTGACATATGAGAATCTAGCAAAATTATGAAAAGGATAATGATGTGAGAATACTTCACGGAGAATGATTTGATTTAAAAAGTCAATTAAGAGAGGCCCTTCAAAAAATGGATAAAGTTCTGAAATTCTTTTTTAAGAATGACTGTTAATGCTGTAAGTCAGACATGAAGATTTCTTACTGGATTGCAATTTGGTTTTGTCAGTCAAAAAAATTATGCCAAAAAAGAAAAATCAATATTTTTTTACTCATTTGAAGACTTTACTCATTTGAAGGCTCAGAGGTATAATCTTTCTGGTTTTTTTGATTTTTAGTAAGATCATTATTACTTTTCTCAATAAAATATAACTTACATAGAAATGTATACTACTCCTAAGTGTGTATAGCTTGATGAATTTATATCAGAGATATAATTTTATCCTAAGTTTTATTAAAACTACAAATCATTTAGCCATATAATTTTAGATTTTATTTTTCAGGATAATGTCCCAATTAAAACGTTTTCCACTCATTTATTAAATTTTAATCTCTTATCTAAGTGATCTTATTTTTCACTACTTATCCTCCTAAAGTATTTACACTACAAAACATGGTTGAGCTCATTGATTCTTACAACAAAGGAATCTGAGGCCCAGAGTTTGTATCAAACTGGCAGAGGTGAAACTAGCACCTAGGTCTCTTAACTTTTTTAGTCCGTTGTTTTCTCCATTATGAAAGGCTTTTACCTTCATTTAGGCCTTTGAAATGCACTTAAACACTTATGCGTTGAATTAAATGTTGGGTGCCATGAAAGGATACAGGTGTATGAAAAGACATGGCGTATCATTATGGAGCAAATTCCAAAAGGGAGTGATATTCCTATTTTTTTGTATTTGGAGGAAATGGTTTATAGTGTAGTGGAAATTGTTATATTTGGAGGAAATTGTTATCACCTAATGCTTACACATGCTTTTTTTTCTTCTTGAACATACTTTGTGAGTAAAATGGTTCTCTTTGTGTAGTTTTCTAATCTAGAGAATTCTTAACTTTGGACTAGAACATACGTATTTTTAAATTCAAAGTTTTTTAACTAAGACTTTAGTCAGGCTTTGATTAAAATGATTGCCAAGTTGAATTGGAAATTATTTATAAATTTGATAGGAAAAAATGTATTTTTGATATGTATACATATTTATTTATATTCTATCATATACTCAGAAGTCAGGTGACCATTTGATGTATCTTTACCCTCTGATCTCTCCATTAACCTCTGTTTGCTCAGGGGTAGTTATTATAGTGCCCAGTTTCACTGTGACTGAGTTTCACTCTGAATGAATGAGTGCCTAAAATGTACTGGGGCATTGTTCAGGGCACCTGGGATGCTTCAGCAAATAAAACAGAGATCTGCCTTGTGAAGCTTACATTATAATGGGATTGGTCAGTTTTTCCTTTTTCATACCTATTCTCTACTTCATGTGCATCCCAGTTCGGTAACATATAAAGCTTTCTTTTTGTTCTGTTGTTTACCTACATAGTGATAATGATTGCCATTTGTGCCAGCTTTGTCAGGTTTATGAGACTGAATGCTGTTTCTTTTAATGGGGCTAAAATTGTGAATAGATATTGTTCACAAGATGAGGCAGTTATAGATAGGGTCTCAGAATCGTATTGAATCTAAACTGAGCTCCATTTAAAAACTACTACAGTTTAGCATGATTAAAGCTATGAGTAAAAGAATAGTGACTAATTTCTAAAAGGGCTAGCTCATTTTATGTGACTGAATACAGGTTGGAGCAAGGAGGGTCATACCCTCTTACCCTCAGAGGCAGTTTATCGCATTACTTATTTATTATCTAATTTTGAACCATTCTATTATTACCTGAGTACCTTAAGGTATTTGCCTTTGTATTGTAGTATCCCTCTTAAAATAAACATACTTGTATTTATTCTTTAATATCCAAGTAAACTTGTTGAATTATGGGGAAACTATTGAAGTTAGAATTAAAATATAAATAACAACTCCAATTATTGTTACGTTTTTTCCCAGTTGATCTTATTTTTTTAAATCTACTTTTAAATAGACATTCTATTGGAGATACCAAAGTTCCATTTTGTCTTCAGTCCTGTGTAAAACCTTTGAAATATGCCATTGCTGTTAATGATCTTGGAACAGAATATGTGCATCGATATGTTGGGAAAGAGCCAAGTGGATTAAGATTCAACAAACTATTTTTAAACGAAGATGGTAAGAATTAAAGCTCTTGTTAAACCTATGTTCAGTTAATATAATACAGTGCTAAATTCCTGAGTTTTTTTTGTGATCTTTTTTCCTACAGACTTAGTGTCAACAGAATGTACATGGCAAAAAAATGTATTACTTAGAATGTTAAATTCATTTATCCCAAGACCATTTTTTTGTTGTTGTTGTTTCTGAAATACTTCTTCACATTCAAATTCCTCTATTTGTTCATTCCTACTCTTTAAAGATCTCTCTCAAAACCGGTCAGTTCACCAGAAACACCCAGTTTATTATTCTGCTTTGTCTTTTTTGGGAAATTTTTAATTTTTCTTATAAAATGTTTAATTTTGTTAGAACAAAAATATTAATTCTTTCCATATTAAATTTAGATGCCAGTGAGTTTATTAAACAAGGTGCTTCTGTATATGATATCCTTATTGAAGTTGCTGGTTTATAATAAGCTCCGTAAAATCAAATGTAGCATCAGGACAGAAAGATTATGGTAAAGTAAGTAAGAAAATGCAATTGCCCGCAAAACAAATAGGAAGAAAAGCAAGAAAATACTAGTTTTATAACTTTATTAAAAAAATAATGAAACAATAATGAGTATAAGCCACATTTCATTTTTTATCCAACAGAAAGAAAAAATACAAAAGTATGTCTCACAACAATTACTGCAACTAGTAAATTCCTTCACTCTTGTTTTCTTTAATTCTATCTTAACTCATCACACAATGAGGAACCCAGCGTATGCCTGAAAGATTAAAAAATAGAAATTAACCTATAGGTTGGTGTTTAGATTTAAAACCTCTGCCAGATAGAAGTACTAATTACCTTTGTTCTCCCCTTTTCTTTTGGATTCCTGTAAAGTATTAAGACTTGTTAGTTACCCAACTATTTAACACAAGATATTTCTTTCAAATACCAAATGTTATGAAAGAGAAAAAACAAAAATGCTCACCAACTCAACCAGAGCTACCATAAAACCTTTTTGTTATGGAAGTTCTCAAATACATATAATATACAAAAGTAGAAAGAACAGAATATAAGCATGTATGTATCCATCATTTAGCTTCATGATTACTAACGTATAGAAATAATCACACCCAGCACCCCCCCACTACACTCCACTGAATTATCTTAAAGCAAATCCCAGACATTGTAAATTTATAAAGTGAAATCTTACTTCCTGCTCCCATCTTCTCTCCAGCCCACTTTCCAGTGATATGAGATGCCTAAAATGACCAGTTTTTAGAGTAGGTGATTAAACTATTTCTGTGGG